CTCGCTCTCTTATTAAATGCACGATGGAATGGCCCCCCCTCTTCTCACCTCCCTAACATATGGGGGGGGGGGGGTGTTTAGTCCACAGAAGAGAACTGAGCAGAGTTGATAAAGCTGCTTGGGATTTCAGTGCAACACAGATTGCACAGGAGCTCACTGGAATTCTGGCAGGATCAACAGATGGTTTTCTATAATTGCAACATTTTAAGATACAAAAATGGGGAAATGTGCATGTATAACAGAGTACTGAATATTTTTTGTGGGGGTTTTGTTGTCCAGACGAAAGGCCTACTCCAGGATCCTCCCAACCCCCAACCACCCCACAGTTCATCCCATCCTGCACTTCTCCCATATGTATATTTTTCTTTATTCTATTTTTTATACTCACCTTTTCCAGGTTTGTTTTCAGGCCAATCATGTGACATGCAGGGTGCTCCTACCATTCACCAACTCTCCAAAGCTGGGTGGTTCTCAGTAATTTAGACAAATTTAGCGTGGCACTGATGTGATGTGAGTGCAGGATATAGTCATGTTCTGTCATGGGGGTGGGTCCATGACCCCCTGCACTTATAAGATGTCCGCAGTCTTCCAGGTTGAATGATACTGAGCATAAAGGAATTACAGAAGGGAGCACTGCCACATAGAAGGTAAGCATTGCAATGATAGATAGATAGATAGATAGATAGATAGATAGATAGATAGATAGATAGATAGATAGATAGATAGATAGAAAAAATATAGACATATAGGGGGGTTTGCACTAAGCTATCGAAGGCAGCCGAGTGAATAACCGAGCCGATATGAAGGGAGCTTAACACCGTTCGGCTATTCACTTCAGCCGAGTACGGATGATTTCAGCCGTACATCGTTTGGCTTTGGCTCCCTTCGGTTCAGCCAAACATTGTAATAGGGGCCGAACAGCAGTGAGTGAATAGCCGTATGCCTTCGGCAGACCGTTCTCTCCGTTTCGGCTGTGACTTCGGCTCAGTCGAGACGAAACATATGCCTTCGGCTCGGTTGAGCTGCTCTGCCACCTTCGGCTGCTGTACGGGTTATTACGAATATTTATATTGTGTCAGTCGAACCGAAGGGCTCCGGCGGCCGAAGAGAGCCGAAGGATCAGCTGAATAACACCCTTTTCGTGAATAACCCCCTTAATATTTGAGATAGATAGATAGATAGATAGATAGATAGATAGATAGATAGATAGATAGATAGATAGATAGATAGATAGATCCTTTCATAAATGATCTATACATTTATCAATTTGCTAAACAATGCTTCGCAGAGATAGGATTTATGATTATCCCATTACTATATTATTTACATGCTGAAAGCTAATTGCAGCCACATCCCCAGGTATTAAATTATGTAAACCGTGTGAAGTTTGAGATTAGAAGTAAAGGTTACGCTATTATCTACAATATAATCTGATATAAAATAAATCTAAAGCATGTAACAATATTTATTGGAAACTAGCGCTCAGGTAGAGAGGCTTCCTATAATCCTCTTTGAGAAATATATGTGAGTAGCCCTCTCTGGAAAAGGAAAGTTTTTTTTCTGGGGGAGTCCTGGCAAGCCCCTCCAATGCATCACAAAGCTCTGCTGAGCTAGAACACCCATCCACGGTCCACTTGGCCTCATTAACATAAAGCTAGAGACTCAGACCAGCATGTGACAGGGCATAAGAGACATTAGGCAATGCTTCATGCAAATACTTGATATGCAAATATCCATTCCAAAAGGAGAACAAAGTTGGGTGAATACAGCTGCTAACTTTAACATAACTAAATAAGTGCAAATAGATCAGTTTAGAAAAAAAATTGTTTACGAAATATGACAGAAAAGTGTCAGACATAAGAAGCAAAGAGAGTAATTGAGGGATAAAGTGTAATTCATCAGTGGTCATGTGAAGGCCGAGCACATTGTTTGTAGGCCTTTGCTGCTACCCTGGATTCAGCTTGCAGGGGCGTGGAAGAATGTTAAATCACCAGTGTCAGGACAGGACACAGAGAAGTACGATGGAAAATATGTGCAGGCAGTGGGGAAAAAAAACACAGAACAAGTATTTTATCCTCTTTTTGTTCAGATGTCAAAGAAAAATAACTTTCATTACCCCTCAGCAAATGGGAACTTGCAGATTTTCTTTTATTTTGCAAAGAGAATAAGATATCATATTTTGATAAAGGGTTTTAATCCTGAAGTAAATGAAATGGCAATTGAGATATCCAAGTTATCAATTACCCTCTGATCCTGAGGTTCAGACAGTGCCAGAGTGGGTATAAGATGATCCACTGTGATATAAGATGCAGCTATTAAGATCACAGACCTGTGCAATTAACCCAGGGAAGGCATACATCATTCCTTACAGTACACCCATACTTACAGACTGAAGGGAATTGACTGACTCCCTACATATGTCAGTTTGATACATGTGTCAGTGGCCGTGGTTATTTAAAACTGAACTCTGAGCAGATTTAAATCTATTCCTCAATAACCACAAGGATATAAATCCACTTTCTGTGCACCATATGGCTTGCAAAACCAGTTATTAGGTTTTAAAAGTAGGAATAACATCATCATTCTGCTCCACATATCCTGTGCAGAGAGCAGAGCTGTGGAAGGACCCAACACACCCATCCACTAAAGGCTGCATGCAGAAAACTATAGGAAGTGGTGGATAGAACACCAGTCATCCTGCACAAGAGAGAGAGCAGCAGTGACAGGTCTCTATTACAGGAAGCTCCTGCACAAAGGCAACGTTTTATGCGGTTTTACTGCACAGATCTGGAAGAGATACACAAAGCACCCCAAGTTTCAAATACAAGTGCACATGCCTCTTGTATTTAGACAAAATTTGCTTAATTTAAAGTTCAGTTTTAAATAGCAATTTTATAGGCTGTTTGTACGGATATAATATACAGGAAATATCATAGGCATGTATTACATTGAGTGTGCACAGATTATAACATATCCTCTGCACTAAGTTACCCATATGGACATAAATGCTGGGGTATGTTCCTGACAATCATTAGAACTGATGAAGCAGCTTGGATAAGCTCCAAAACATCTTTAAATTGACACTAAACTCAGGAGGTAAATCCTAAAAATACATTCAAGTACTGACACTGTCCTGCCTTCTGGAAGATGGCTACTTTTGTTCCCCATGGTCCCTGTGTGTGTTGTAAAGTAGCCACCGATCCAAGCTCACTCCTGTGATAGACTACAACTTTGATACAAATTAGTAAACTAAACCTGAAATTGTAGTCCATCGCAGGAGTGAGCTTAGAACGTTGGATACTTTACAACACACACAGGGACCATGGGGAACAAAAGTAGTCGTCCTCCAGAAGGAATAACAGTGGCAGCACCTATTTAGAGATGATTTGAGGATCTACAGCCGAGTGATACACACATATGATATATTTTTGTTAATAGTTAAGGTACTTGAATGTATTTTTAAGCTATAACTCCTGAGATTAGTGTCACTTTAAGGAACTTGTCCTAATATGCATCATAGACATATATGAAGACTTCTTTGTGTTTGTGGCTGGAGGTGAATGGGAGCCTTGCTGAGAACCAGCAATCCCTGAACATTCTACTGTGGGTGAAGGTTGAGCAGCTATACTTTTTTACCTTTCATAGACGTAGGCCTGAGCAGAGTGTAGTAACCTACATTAGTCTATCAACTTTCATTAATCTGAATACAATAAACAAACGAAAGCTGATTTGTTGCTATGAGTTACTGCTCATCCTAGCTCTCTGCAATGTGTTCCTACATAAAACAAGCACTTACTTGAGTTTGGAGTCTGGAAGCGATAGAAGGAAATCTGGGTTGATACCGATTTTAGGAGAGTAATTGTTACTTTCACCCTGCATGTGTGAATCCATGGGTGGCTTATTATCTCTTTTTGCATCTGGGTTTCCCTTACTAAAGGCATCTTTTGTGTCCTTGTCGTGGACCTCTAGTTCGAACCTCCTCCTCGGAGAATCTGAGTTTTCAGCATCTGATTGAGACATTGTTGGTTTCTTCTAAAGCGGTGCGTCTGTAAGGATCCGGGTAGAGAAGCAATCCTCATCAGCCAATACCTGAAGCACAGAGACAGTGTTTGTATTAGAAGTCATTGTTTGCTTACACATTACCTGTGAACCAGCTGCAAAGGGAACAGCAGATGGCAGGTGTATAAAAAATGGAAAATGAATATTTGCATGGAGTTTACCATTTACTAGACCAGTACTAAAGAAAGCTTTTACTGTATATGTGCTATCAATATTCAACTTTTTCCACAAAATATGGGGAATGGGTAAAAAGATACATATGAGAAGAATATAATGCCAACAAAGCAGGTTAGTTACAGTGTGGACTATCCAAAAGATAACTAAATATTAATTGCCACTCAGTTACCATTTATTGCTGGCAATTTATGAGTGCACTAAACTTTTTACACTACAGTAAACACTGTGGTGTAAAAAGTATATTTATAAAGCAGTCAATCTGACATTCACCAAACATTTAATGCAGGTGAATCTTCCAGGTACATGTGTTTTACATGACAGTGATTGATTCACCACCAGAGACTGTTTGGTAAAAGTCACATGTTCATTTTTTAAATAAATATGTTCCTAAGCATTGTGATGAATACTGTGCAAATTACTTGTTTCTTGGTACCTTCATTGGCATTTCACTGGCATGTGACTGGATGTGAATGCATGATGTACCATGCACGTACACTTCCCAATTAGAAATCATACTGAATCACCAACAAATGTGGCAGCTTTCTTGTAGCTATGATGTTACATCTGGCTGGAGAAATTCATTCTTCCTGTCTACCATAATCATCATAACATTATTTCAGCTAAAGTGGATCACCAGTAGGAAAGTGGTAGATCCTCAGCAAGTTTCTCCTTTTTTTGCTGTCTGTTCCCCCCACTCCTTGAGAAGATTCACCCTCACTTCTTGTCCCATTTGACAAAAAGAAAGAAGGTAAGGGATGTCGATGGTTGACATTGTAACAGGAGGTGATGGGGAGTCTCTCAAAGAGGAAACCTTGTTGGTGCCAACCGTTGAAAATGGAACTTCCCTTCACACTGCAGATATTTCCTCTCACTTCCTGCATTGTTCCTAGAACAGGAAGTGAGGAGAAATTGGCCCAGCGGGGATGCAGATAGCAATAAAATACATGAAAGAGATCTAAAACTCTAGAAACATTTTAGAGGGGTTACATTTTCAAGCCTGACAAACATCCTAGAGATCCCATATTTGTCTAAGACCCCTCACTTCCCTGTACAGTAACACAGAAGAACCATTATCACTGCTCGTCTTGAATTTTGTCGAGTCGGTGAACTGCAATTACAATTATACTTTATACTAGCAGCACTTCCTGTTGGTGAAATCTGGAATTGCAGCTCAGCCAAAATGTAGTCTCTAAATTTCTGTAACAACCATTGTATTGTATTAGATCTACACCAACCCTTCAAATATTGTAAAGAACAAAAGGACAAAAGTGGCTTTTGTTTATAAGGAAGATGTTACTACATGAACAGTTTCCAAGTAAAACCCAATTGTACTTTTTTACAAAATGCGATAATCCCACATGGGGGTTAAAAAAATACTTAGTGAGCTAATTTTACTTTCTGTTCTGGATAGTACCGGTATATAGGTTCCAGGAGCTGCTAGTGGCTGGGCAGAAGATTGCAGCGTGGACCACTGCTATTGATGTGTCCAATATATCCCAACTGATCAACGCCTAGAACTAGGCAATCACCTCACTCTTCCTGCTCATTGTCTAGTTCTACCGTGTTTCCCCGAAAGTAAGACCTACCCCGAAAGTAAGACCTAGCGCTATCTTCGGGGATTTCTGTAATATAAGACCTACCCCGAAAATAAGACCTAGTTCGGTGGTAGGTCTTATATTACAGAGATCCGCTAGGTCTTACTTTCGGGGTAGCTGCACATAAACTGAATTTTGAATCTAAAGACCGGCCGCAGCTCCCGCCCCGCCCACAC